CTGGAAAGGTTTTTTTTTTTTTTTTTTATGCTCTTGGTCTCAATGCACTTTATGGAGAACAAATTGGCCATCATAAAACATTCCTTGAGAGAGAGGCTGCATACAGAATAGAGCCACAAGGCAATTAGGTTTTATGGTGTTTAGTTCAAACCCACTTAGTACGTGCCTTACAGATGCTTAGGTTAAAATTGGAACTGTTTGATTTGTGGATTTTAGTTGTAGGTCTTTCTGGAGGTCTGATCCCTCTTTTGTACTGTTGTGACGTAATTGCTTAATGCATAGAAGCCATTTAAAAGTGCTTTTTATTTTAATTACAGAATTTTTATTACAGAAAGATTTTTATATTTTTAAAAGTTTCTTACGCTCACCAAGGCTGCAAATAAATGCAATTTGTGCATAAATGCAATATGCACAATAAACGCAAACTTTTGAAAGATAGTGTGTGTATATACAAGATAAAAATCTTTCACAATTCAATGTCTCTTTTTCATTACTCTCTCTTTTCTTACTGTTCTCACTCACACACACTTAGCCAGGGCAGTTTGTTGATGAGCACAGCAGATGTTGCAGTCAGGGTCCAGGGAGAATCAGTGGCAGCAGAAATGGTGGGCACTATTAAACTATTAGATATGGAGAGGGTTTGACTCTCTCCCCCACTCCATTCCCTTGATAAACCCCTGAGACAAGACGGATAGAGGGAGAAAGCCTTCTGACTCATGCATTTGGCTTAGAGATGGAACAAAGTAAAGATCTTCCTCTTTTTATGTATACATAAGTACCCACAGTCACAATCACATGCCTGCGTTTAACTAAATAAACCTCTCAACCACTGAAAACATATCTGCTGGTTTTCTCTCAAGATGAGGCAGTGGAGAATCTGAAGAAGAACTGAATCTGGCTGCCACGTGTGCATTCATATTAGAACAGCTCGCAATCTGTCGCCAAATGAAACTGGCATGGATGACACAAAGTGAGGGAGCGTGGGATGAAGAGGTAGCGTGTAGGAAGCAGAGAGAGAGGAGCTTGGACTGATTGCCATTGGAATTCCCCAAGTAACTTTATTGAGTCCAATTTGATTTACACCAGCAAAGTCTGGCATCCAGAATGCCAGCCTTGTGTAAATGCCAATCAAGACTCATTCAGAATGATGAGGCCTGATTTCCAGTCCAGGACAGAGCCAGAGAGTGTGGATTTTACTCAAGATGGGCAGTGTATTTATGGGAATGGAAATGAGGCGTTGAGGGATGAACGTGCAGCCAGTTGAGTGGGTCTTGGGTTACATCTAATTTTTTGCATCCTTATTTTATTATTATTTTATTAAAAATGAAGTCATAGATGAGATCCATCTTTGGTGATGGTGCCAAAGTCAAATAGGAAGGGGCTCACTTTACTGATATAAAAAAAAACTCAGAAAATGAAAAGGAAATGGAAGGGGTGATAAGTGGAAGGCAGTAAAGATATTATAGACTTAAATGACGTAAGGGGAAGGGGATTCAAGTCTTATAAAAAGAGGGATGAAAAGCAAAAGTGTTTATGTGGTTTGTGAAGGGCTTGGGCCATTTGGGGTGCCTCTGGACAAACTGAAGCAGCAGTCTGGACAGATTAGAAGAGCTAAGAGGCTGTGAGGGCTGATGGGTACTTTTAGAGTGATTTAGAGTTCCTGACAATAATGATGATGATAACACTGCCGTTCTACAGATTGAGAGAGAGAGAGCGAGAAATGCCACACAGCATCTCTCAACAGTTTTCCACTCTTGAGGATTCTTGAAATATGATCTTGAACTTTAAAAAGGGTTGTTTAACAGGGGTTTGTGATAGCTTTGCAGGGGCTCCCCAAGTTGTTTGGTCTCAAACTAATTTTTGTGAAAAATTTTAAATGTTGATCAGAAATGCAAAATGAATTTAAGATAAATATAAAGTTTTCAGCAGTGATGTCTGAATTGTTAATTTGAATCAAATCTTTTCAAATGAATCAGTTGGTCCAGTTCACAAATGATTCATTTCTTGAGTTCAGCTCACTGACTCAGTGATCCATTCATTGAGATTATCACCAGTAGCTTAAATATCAGTCTTTTACCTCATTTTACCTCATACTCGTTTTACTTAGCATTATAATTATTCCTTCAATGACCTCTGGAAATATAAACAGTTCACTACCATGTCTCTAAGATGTTTTTTAAGTCTCTTCTGCTCACCAAGCCTGCATGTATTTGTTCATAAATACAGTAAAAATAGTAATACTGTGAAATACTATCAGAATTTAAAATATATAAGAAGTTTTACGCTAATGCAGATTTATATTGCTTGCACCAGACTGGCCTGATTATGTAACTTTAAATTTGTTTTCTTTTTAATTACTGTAGTGCATATGTATTCAGTAAATATTCATATTCACATCCTCTCCACAGGTAATTCCCAGATGGGGGCCACTATAGTAGATGCCCTGGATACCCTTTACATAATGGGCCTCCACGATGAGTTTAAGGATGGCCAGGAATGGATCGAGCAAAACTTGGATTTCAGTGTGGTAAGTAGCCATGACTTGGACATGAACACACAAGATTACCAGCAACACTTGTCTTTGTAGGTTTGGAGGCAAAGTGTTCCTGTTTTTGTTTATAGACACAGATACATCTCAGGGCGCTGTTATTTCACAGTGGTAAGCCTTATACTTGGCAGCTGGCTGACACAACTGTATTAACAGTCCTTCGACACCCCATAATTCCTCAAAGACTTCAGTCTTCAGTGTGTGTGAATCTTTCAGGTTTTGATCAGATTGTGGTGGCACTCTGTATAAAACGTGTTGCGGCAAAGGAGTTGATGTGACACATCATCGTATCCAGGAGACAAGACTGGCTCCATGGAAACAATGTGAACCGCCGGAGCTCTGCCTCCAGAATTAGCCAATGATGTTGAGGAAAAAATGGCAGACAAAAGAGACGTCAGAGAATGAAGCGGGGGCCGGCGAGTGGCCCCAGGGGCCCCGTGTCTCCTACTCTCCTTCTCTGTCTGCATTCACGTCCTGACCCATTAATGGGATTTCTCCAGTTTCTCTCCCTATCAGTTGTTTTTCCGGCCTCTCCTCCATCAGATATGGAGAACCTGTATGGTCGTCTTGGCTTTGGCTTCTCTCTGGTATCTGTGTGTTGCGTGATTTTTCTCCCGTCTCCCTTCTGCCACTTTTCTTTGAGAAGATCTGGTGGACTCTCAGCGCCTGAAATCTCCTCTGTGTGTTTAGTTAATCTTTTTGGCTTTTCGAGCAGTGACCTAATTTCTTCTCTCTCCCCCTCCTCACTGTTACTTTTGGACAAATATATCTTACAAAGCATGTGCACTCTGAAGGATGACTCACGCTTGGACCGTTGGGTCTGGCCGTAGAGGGCTCAGCATGTCTCAGTGGGATGGATGTGTTGGAAGGATTTTTGGAGGAGGGCAATAAACCGCAAAGCCTAAGCGAGGAAGGGAAGCGTGTGCAAAACGCTGTGTTTCCACGAAAATATATTAAGTAGCACAACTGTTTTTAACAGTTAATAGTAAGAAATGTTTCTTTAACTGCAAATTAGCATATTAGAATGATTTCTGTAGGATCATGTAACACTGAAGACTGAAGTAATGGCTGCTGAAAATTCAGTTTTGCATCACAGGATTAAATTGTTTTTACTGCATTTATGATTAAATAAATACAGCCTTGGTGAGACGTCTTTCAAAAACATTTTAAAAAATCTTGAACCCACTTTTTAATTGTACTGAATGCAGAAATTCATGGTAACCAAGATTAATAAATACTATAAAAGTTAATTATTATTTCGTGCTACGTAATGTATTATTTGTGAATTTATGTAATGTTTAAATGAATTCTATTATAGTGCTGCCCATCATTTTATAATTGAATAAATAGTTCAACTAAAAAAGTAAATAAAAATAACTCACAAACATGACAGTTTCATCTGTTTTTGTCTATACAATGAAAATCAGTGGGGTCCAAACCATCTGATTGGACCCCTGATGACTTTCAAAAAAAAATTTGCTTAGACATTTTAAAAATATCATCTTTTGTGTTCCACAGAAGTAAGAAATGCACTCCCTCAATCTCTCTCTCTCTCTCGGTCTCTCTCTCTCTCTGTGTGTGTTTCTATTGTGATGATGATGAGGCTGCCTGCCATCAGCATTAATCGCAGCTGTTAAACCAAAAACTGAATTAATGGACCTTGGTCAGGGAACGGTCATATCTGAATTAATCTGGTGCATGTTCACTTTTGTCAAAATTAATAGACATGCTGAATGAATGCTAAGTGGAAGGGGTTGGTTAAAGCATGTTCTTGTCTTATCAAATTAGTGTAAAACAGTCAATATAAGATGCTTTAGCAGCGTTATGTTCAGAACTGGAAAACCTACTTATATTTCATAAGCAGCATACAAAAACAGGTGCTGTTTTTAGGTGCTGTGGATTATGGGATTGTGACGGGGCTAAACAGGATTTCGGGAGCTTGTACCATACCATTGAACTTCACTGTGTTTAGATTTGTTTTTCTGCATTGGTTGAATTAGTTCCTTTGCTATACGAGACTTAAAGGGGTGTGTGTGGTTAGCTGCTGTTTGCGGTGTGATCTTTGTGCAAGTGGAAAACTGCTTTATGGTAATTTTCTCTAAATAAAGGTAGAAGCTGACAAGATGGATGTTGATGATACAAACACACACGCACACTGCTCCAGCATTCATTTCAGTCTCACTGAGAGATTATTGTATCAGCTTTGATGTAGATTTGAAGTTCATTTGGGCGCTCTGCATGGCTGTTATGTAGATATTTCATGCAGATTAATAAAGCTGCTTAAATGGCTGTTTGAATTATAAATAGTGCAACAGTTATGTTCTGAAAATAAAAAAATTACTTTCATTTTTAACAGCACTGTTCTCCTTATAAACTGATTATATTTAAATATTTTGCAATAAACTTCAAATATATTGTATTTTATATATAAATGTATTTGTTTTTTTAATCAAATGTATACTTTTATTCCGCAAGAATGCATCTATTCTATTTTGATTCTATTCACCAAAGATTCCTGAAAAAATGTCACAGTTTCTTCAAAAATATTAAGCAATAAATCAATTAAGCAGTTCAATCTACACTGCTAAAAAGAATAAATGTTTCTTGAGCACCAAATCAGCATATTAGGATGACTTCTGAAGGACCATGTGACACTAAAGACTGGAGTAGTGTTCAACATTTTTCTTAAACATTTATATTAAAACATTTATTATTAGTATTATTCCCCTGAATTGAAAGTTTCTTGTGTTGGTTTGGTTTAGACTCTTTATTGAAGTTTTTTTTTTACAATTCCTAAAAACAAGACAAATACTTAGGGAACCAAGGACCCTGAAAAAGTAGGCAATCACTGTTCTGCTCTTACTCTTTCTCATTTTTCCCCGTTTCTACAGAATGCAGAAGTATCTGTCTTTGAGGTCAACATCCGCTTCATTGGAGGGCTTCTGGCTGCATACTACCTCTCTGGACAGGAGGTACGTTATCATTGCTTATTGATTTTTAGAAGTTTGTGTGTTTCTTCTCTCTCTGTGCTGTTCAGTTTCATAGTTATTTCAGATGAGGGAAGTTTGTGCAGGCAGCCACATAGATGAAGATCTGGACAGAGAGAGTTTATCTTAGGGCAGTGATGTTGGCTCAGAGAACTAAGAACAGCTTTTTCAGGAGAAATAAATGTCCCTCTCTCAAGCCCATGTTAATTAACGCTTCCCTTCTGTCTTATCTGCCCATGGATATTAATGGAGAAGGGCACAAATAGTCTCTCTCTCTTTTCCCTCATCACTGGGCAGCGTTTCTCTACCACTGCATATCACTGTGTTCTCCTCCTTTTAGTCTGAATGTGAAAATGCAAAGGAATTAAGCTGCAGCCATGCGGCACGACCTCATCGCCGCTCCACACACTTCATTAGATGAGTTTAGATACTGGACGTGGAACTCGCCACACTTGCATACAAAGTCATGCCTGCCTCTCTGTCCCAAGTGACCTTTTGTGTCTTCAGTACAGTGTTTTGACACGCCTGGGCGTCAGGCCTCAGTCCCCAGTACAGTCACACTGTGTTCATCCTGCATGTGTGCTGTCATAGACACGCAGTACAGCATTGGCTGAATGTTGGAGGCAGAGTGTCCAATTTACTAGTACTTGTATTGCCACTGGCAAACATGGAGAGAAGTGATCAGATTAAATGAATTGTTTCAAGAATCATTAAATAACATCTGGATTAACTGTGCATTTATATCTTGTAATTACATCTAGTCGCCATAAGGCCTCTAGTATGCTGTGGAGGGCTATATCCAAAAATGTGCCCAAATTTGAGCAACAACATTTACAGAGATTTCATTTACAGAGATCAGAATCAAAGCAAGCACTGATGTTATGAGAGACACTGTAATGTTGGTATAGCTTAAACCAGTGGTTCTCAACCCTTTTTTCCACTGGGCCGCACTATGGTCCAAGTGCAGTCTCGCGGGCTGCACGCATATCATTTACATATTATGTCACCAATACAAACCAACCAGATTCATAATAGCCTATTATAGCCTAAATATTATGATCAGGGTTTGAAATTAACACCCGCCAAATGCGGGTAAAAATCAGCTGTGGCGGGTAACGCTGTCAAATCACTAGCCAATTTAGCGGGTTACTTTTCGTAAATTATGTTCACTCATTAATTTCTTGGGGAAGTTCATGCAGGCCAAATCTGCGCAGGTTTAGCGCAAATACTGAACTCGTGAGACATCATGACATTATCGAGTATATTGCAAAAGCTAAACAAAACACACCTACAGAGGCGTGCATATGTGACGTGATGAAGTCTGGTTAGACCAACACAGGATTTAGTGCGCCTGCGCATTTAGAGTGGTTCTTTCACTGCATGATTCAGTCTATTAATATGCATGAACAATGATCACATACTTCAAGCTAAGGAGGCAGAAAATGTATTTATATCAATTCATATAGTTAATCAATATCACACGAAGAGACTCTCCGCACAAACTATTGGATATAGCGCACATTTATCTAGGTTTAACGTTAAAACATTGTTATATGGTTGAACTGTTTTATATCTATAGAGTTTATTTTAGGCAAGTCATGATGATTTGAGAAGGCTACATTGAGCTATGATCAGCTCACTGTCTGCCGCTGGCCGCTTGGTCGTTACTTTGATAAACCGAAAGTTGATGCAGAAAGTCCAGCACTCTCTCCTACCTTCACTGCTGCGACTACTCTTGTTTGTATGTGTTCCTTCTCTGGCATTTTCCACATTTCGTTTTTCTCCCTTAATAACAAATGTGTCCATTCTGATGCTCAATTTTACCGAACTAATGGGTGCTGATGACTATTTGAATTGAATTCTGCTAAAGTGTGCGCTTGTAAGAGTTCGTTAAATGCGTAACGTTAATTACTTGAGTACAGGTCTGCTCATGTCTGAAAATAATATATGAAAAACAAAATTATTTTACATAACAAAAACATTCTAGCTTATATTTGTTTAGTACATTTTTTAATTAATGTAAAAACTAAAATGAATTGTAAAACTGAAAGTTATTTTTGTAATTGTGTTCAGCATGGTGGGCCGCATTTGAATTCGTGACGGGCAGCATCCGGGCCGCGGGTTGAGAACCACTGGCTTAAACACTGCTGAGCAGATAAAATGGAAGTGTTTTTTTATTATTATTATTTTTTGATCGTTTGTTCTTTACTGTAGTTTTTGAGTCCCTATTTTAGGGAATATTAAAGATTTTTATCTCTTTATTGGTCAATATTGTATATTTAATTTTTACATTTATGCTATCTTTGCCATCATTTAAACTACTCATTGAAACACTTAATCATTAAAAGCACTAATATTTTAAAATAGCACTGTTGAATGTAATCTTTGGCAATCTCAAAATGAATATACATGTTTTATACTGTACGTTACAGTTTTGTGATGCATGAATTTACTTTAAGCATTTAAAATGATTAATGTTAGTTTGTAGTATTTTATTCTTAATTTACTAATTAGGCAAAACAGTATAGAATTTTAATATTGGCCATTTATTGGTTATCGGTTGTAACAATTATCTGCTTTTCGTTATCACCCAGAACTACCTTTTACTTTGAAGGCTTAATTCCTTACAGTAGTTTGAGTCACTTTTTCATAAAGATGTGCATACTCTCCTGGTAGATACAGTAACTTCAGCATTATGGGAACCAAAGCATCTGACGGCAATTCAAAAGCCTTTTCGAAAGCACTGAGTGCCTGCCCATGAGCAAAGATGACAGATCTGAAATTGCTTTCTCCCAGGGGATCACGTAACAGCCAAGCGGTTGCCATTGAGATGTATAGGGATGCTAATGAAAAACTTTCTCCAGGTGTTATACTCTACATCTCCTTGGTGCAGGCAGAGTTTCTCTATATATGTCCTCTGTATGCAGTGGTGGTAGCATGGAGCAAAGGGTAGAGGCACTGACTGAAGGCAGAGTATCATAGATTGAAAAGCCATGTCTCTTTAATAAGAGATTTTTGATCAGGCATGATGGAGAAAGCCGCTGAGGGTGGAGGGAATGAAAGAGGGTCCAGAGTAGAGAGAGCTGTGTACTGGACTGATGTGCAGCTGGTTTTTCTGGAGAAGAGCATCTGATCTGAAGAAGACAGAAGACTCCATACTTTTATCAGCTCAGGAGGTTATCTCTCCTGTGCAAGACCACATCCTCCATTCAATCTCTCTCTCTCTCTCTCTCTCTCTCTCTCTCTCTCTCTCTCTCTCCCCTCTCTCAGATGTGGCCATGTCTCTTTAATAAGAGATTTTTGATCAGGCATGATGGAGAAAGCCGCTGAGGGTGGAGGGAATGAAAGAGGGTCCAGAGTAGAGAGAGCTGTGTACTGGACTGATGTGCAGCTGGTTTTTCTGGAGAAGAGCATCTGATCTGAAGAAGACAGAAGACTCCATACTTTTATCAGCTCAGGAGGTTATCTCTCCTGTGCAAGACCACATCCTCCATTCAATCTCTCTCTCTCTCTCTCTCTCTCTCTCTCTCTCTCTCTCTCTCTCTCTCTCTCTCTCTCTCTCTCTCTCTCTCTCTCTCTCTCTCTCTCTCTCTCTCTCTCTCTCTCTCTCTCTCTCTCTCTCTCTCTCTCTCTCTCTCTCTCTCTCTCTCTCTCTCCCCCCTATCAGTGATGAATGATGTTTACTCTGCTGTTCCTCTGTCCTCTCTTCCACTGTCTTTTGGTCCTCTTGTCTTCTCTTTTATACTTTCCTTTCATCTCTCTTTCTTTCTCAGTCTTTCTCCCTTGTTCTTTAGATCCTCTCACCCCTGCATCTCTTGGCAGTGTTGTTTCTTGATGGCAGTGAAGAGATGAATTTAGATCTAAAGCAGCAAGGGGCCAGGGTTTGGATGGCTAGTTTGGTTTATGCTGTATGTGAAGCCAAAAGCTAAAGTCTGCTTCTTTATTGACAGCCATTCAAAAGTAGTTTTTAGTATAGTTATATATACATATATATCGTATAAACAAGTACAAATGATAAACTTTCACTCTATTATGGTTAAATTTGGCAATTAATCCCTGGATCACATGCGTGAACTGTGGGGCCTGTCCGTACAGATCACGGATCAACTGTGATCCGTTCAACCCCTAGTGTGTTATTTTCTGAGAATAGTTTTTTCTGTTTTTTCTTTGCAATGTTTTGTTTTATTTTTTCTAATGCACTCATATTTTATGCCCGCAAACAGTGTTAATTTTGACAGCAAATTTTTATTTAGTTTTAGTCATAGTCTTTTGACTAAAATGCCATTTAGTTTTAGTCATATTTTAGTCACCTGAATTGTTTTTAGTTTAGTCTAGTTTTAGTCGACTAAATATCATAAGATTTTAGTCAACTAAATCTACAGTAAATTTAGTCGGCTAAAATCGAATGGGTTTAGTTACAGTGTAATGCATTTATTAAGCATTTCTCTAAAATTTCCAAACTCATTATATAGGTTTGATATTAAGGTTTTATCATGATAGACACCGATTTAACTGCAGTGACACACAACATGCCTTTATGTTAAAATTAAATAAAACCACTTCTCATAAAGAACAAGAACATGGTCTTCGTTTTAATGAAATACCAGTGGGTATACGCTAATTATGCATTCTTTATAGCAACTTTACCATATTCTTCATTCTTTCAAGCAGACATACAGTGGTGTGAAAAAGTGTTGGCCCCCTTCCTGATTTCTTATTTTTTTGCATGTTTGTCACACTTTAATGTTTCGGATCATCAAACAAATTTAAATATTAGTCAAAGATAACACAAGTGAACACAACATGCAGTTTTTAAATGAAGGTTTTTATTATTAAGGGAAAACAAAATCCAAAACTACATGACCCTGTGTGAAGAAGTGTGTGCCCCCCTGTTAAAACTGTGGTTTATCACACCTGAGTTCAATTTCTCTAGCCACACCCAAGCCTGATTACTGCCACACCCGTTGACCTTACAAAGGCGGTTC